TGGTCCTTTTGGATATTTTGCTATGATTGGATTCATCAACATAGTCCCTCATTGTTCAAAATTGTCACGACTCAAATCGATGGGCCGCGACGGGCACCCGGTACCTTACTAAACCGAGTACCAACATAACGTATCTTTTATATCATTCTATCATAGGTAAATGAACCGGAGTAAAGCATGAGGGAATACAAAACTTATACATATGAAGTACGGGCCTATAAGGCCGGCATGATTCTTTATATACTCGAAACATAGGCCGACAAGGCCATACAAGTATCCGTATACATGACATCTGTCTACAAGCCTCTAAGAGTACATACTTATCATAAAGGTCGGGACAGGGCCCCGCTATACCAAACAATACGCATCTAAATCATACTGACCAAACAAGCAACTCCGGAGCAAATGGAGCGCACCAACATCTTCCGCTGAGCTGATAGCCTACTTGGAGGACTCTCGACCTGTCTATCAGGACCTGCGGGCATGAAACGCAGCGTCCCCAGGCAGAAAGGACGTCTGTACGAATAATGTACTGAGTATGTAAGGCACATAAATAAGTACATAAAATACATGGAAGAAATATAGAGTAAGTGACTCAACCTGTAAGTCCGGATAACTCTGTAAATCATAAAATACTTATAGTGTCATGCATACGCGTATGAATGTCATGTCGTGCATAGGTACATGTGTTCATGACATCATCAAGCCTCTGAGGGCATCCCATCATATCATCTCGACCACTGTGGGCAAAATCATCAACGTATACCAGCTGATCAGGTGGTGGTGCGTATATAATGTCATAACCTTTCCGGTATCCCATATACATATATATACATATATGTATGCGTATATAACGTCATCTGGTCATGGGTCGATGTGCATGTATAAATGTATGAAATGCATATGAAATACGTTAATAAAATTTCTTGGCACGTTATAAGACCATTATGACCTCGGATTAAAATCATGAAATAAACTTTATCAATTTACGTATTTTCTGAGAACCATGAACAAACAATAGAATAATAAGACATATGGGGAATCAAGAACATAGGCATCTCTAGTATTTTTATGAATAAAGTCATTTATGGAAGTTGTGCATTTGCTCGTTTCGTTCGTGTTGTATAGATCATGCCAAAAAGAAAGAAGGGATAGCCTTAATATACCTGTATGATCTCTTCCTTATTACTCAACCAAGCTCAACACAACTTCTTGCATCTACAACAAGTGAAATGATATTGCCGTTAACATATAATGTCGTACCATCGTATTTGGCTAGTCGCACGACTTAAGGAAAATCGGGCAGCAACTCCCCTATTTTTAATACATCCCAAAGACCACTAAGGGTCATCAACAACCCAACAACAACAACTATAACCAACACCAGCAACAACGACAATATAATCCAATATGAGTTTCTCCGATTATCTTAACAATCATATTGAGCGACAAGCTCGTTTCTTTTACTCATAACAAGATATAAATTGAATCCAACTCTTATTCCATAAATTATTTTATAACCTTCAGAACATCATACTTATATGTACCGTATTATTTCTAGTTTAAAACCTCCACAAAATACCTTCCAAAACAGCCTCATACGTTTAGCACCTCAATTTTTATCGTCAATCACTTGTTTTTCATCTTTTCTTCTTCAATAAACTTAATTAACACCTAGGAAAGCTTAACAACAACAACCACAATATTATCAAATTATTTCTCACAATTTTCAGCCACCACAAACCATATTTTAATCACAAAATAGTCCAACCAAAAAGACAACCGTATCCCATGTTCCTTCAAGTGCATCTTATGGTTTTTTACTCAAACAACACAACAAACACAAGATTAACCTTAGGAACAATCAAGAATATGTTATTCATACCTTGGACAGCAGCTTCAACTCGAAACCCCATCCCAACTTAGCTCACAATAGCCCTCAATCACACCACAACATCATAAAAGTATTCTCTTGTAGTCTTTAACACATTTGATGAGGATTTGAGTTGATTTCTCTTGAGTTTAGTTCTTGGAACCTTGGAAAAGTTCTTTGAGAGTTTGAGAGTGTTCTGCAGTAATTGATCTCTGGATATTGACGAAATATAATGGATAAAAATAACTTATAAGCCCACTGCCTCAATTCTCCAAGCAGGTGGGTAAGCTGCCTGCTTGGCAGCTTGAGCAGTACCACTTCGGATACTTGTATCTCTCTATTCCGATATCATATTGACAAACGGTTTGCAGCGTTGGAAACTAAACACATAGAGATTTAATTCCATATAAAGATCTCCATGTAACTCTCAATATATTAGGAGAAAACTGAGTCGCAACTTGGCCTATAAACCTGCCAGTTTCTCCGAAGTGCGGCAACGTGACTTGGTGATCCTTACTTTAAAAATTCATATTTCTCTACCCCGATGTCGTATGAATAAATGGTTTGGACCATTGGAAACTAGGTTCCAAGACCTTCATTTTGCTATGATATATGTCCCAAAATGACATCATAAAGCTTACGAATTTAATTTCTCAAAATGGCTCGTTACAAGGCAAATCTTAACTCGATTTTTCCGTAAGTTAAATCCAATTTTTCCCAAACTTTATAGTTTATGTCCAAACATCATATATAGTCATATTATTACTTTACACTCATTCAATCATGATTAACAAGTCTCATATTCATTATACGTCACCTTAGAACGTACAGGGTGTAACGCCAAACTTGTCGACTTTCGACAAAGCTTATCTTCTTCAATTAGTTTAGCTTCTAAGCCTTCCAACCATCTTGTTACTTGTTATTCATGATCTTAAATATTATTAACTTTCACGGTAACATGATTAACTTACTTTATAAATTTTTTTCAAAGATGATTTCATTTCTGAGCTTACATCAATTGACTTACGACGTACTCTTAAGTACGAAAACATGGGGTGTAACAAAAATTGCCCTCACTAATACTTCATAGATTTTTTTATTTTTTATTTTTCATCTAATGTATTTGCATTGAAATTCTGATTAATCTGGTCAGGTTTGTTTATAACACCATTTTACAAGAAATTGGGTTTATAGGGTATTAGCCGTACTTTGAACAAGAACCATAAAATTAGAGTTTATAAATAATATTTTCGGATAAGTGTGGGGATAACTTATATATTTTTACTAATTATTATTGAATAGCAGTAAATTTTATGAAAAACTTATTGAAGAACTGTTCAAATTTGGATAAAGAGGTGATTGATTAAGTTGGTCGCTAATAATAAAAATTGTCTAAATACAATGGGATTAGGACTTTAATAGAATGGAATAGATACAAAGAATAGAATATAGTGATCCTTGAATGGTACTCCTAGCCATATGTAGAATATTCTTCCAAAGGCTTAGCGGGCGTTTGGACATAAGAATTCTAAAATTCCAACAAAAAAAAGGCGAAAATTTTTTCAACTAAAAATGGTATTTGAAAATTAGAGTTGTGTTTGGACATGAATATAATTTTGGATTGTTTTTGAAGTTTTGTGAATGATCTAAGTGAAAATTTAAAAAAAAAATAACTTTTTAGAGTTTTCCAAATTTTCGAACGGTCCTATACACCTCAACAACAACAACAACAACAACAACATACCCAGTATTATCCCATACCGTGGGGTCTAGGGAGGATAGTGTGTACACAGACCTTACCCCTACCTTGAGAGGATAGAGAGGTTATTTCCAATAGACCCTTGGCTCAGGAAAGTATAAGCACCATAGTAATGAAAATATAGACAAGAAGGAACAATACCAAAAAGCCATATAAAAGCAGAATAGAAACAACAAGACAGTAAGGTGATCAACAATGAAAGGATACAACGCCTAGTCATAAAAACCCTACTACCAACAGAAAGCAAGGCTGCGTGCCAATACTACTGTTATGAACACTCTAGACTACCTACTCTACTACCCTAATCCTCGACCTCCATACCTTCCTATCAATGGTCATATCCTCGGTCAGCTGAAGCTGCGCCATGTCTTGCCTAATCACCTCTCGCCACCTTTCTTTGGCCTACCTCTACCTCTCTGTAGACACTCCAATGTCAACCTCTCACACCTCCTCACCGGGGCGTTTGTGCTCCTCCTCTTCACATGACCTAGCCAGCTAAGCCGCGCTTCCCGCATCTTGTCCTCAATAGGGGCCACACCCACCTGTCGCGAATAACCTCATTTCTGATCCTATCTAACCTGGTGTGCCCGCACATCCATCTCAACATCCTCTTCTCTGCTACCTTCATCTTCTGGACATGAGCGATCTTGACTGGCCAACACTCAACCCCATACAACATCATTGATCGGACCACCGCTCTTAGAACTTACCCTTAAGTTTCTGTGGCACCTTCTTGTCACATAAAATACCAGAAGCGAGTCTCCATTTCATCCATCCCGCCCCAATACGATGTGCGACATCTTCATCAATCTCCCCATCCCCTGAATAGACCAAGATACTTAAAACTCCCTCTCGTACGGATGACCTGCGAGTCCAGCCTCAACTCCCCTTACCCTCCTTATAGCCCGTTTGGCCAAGCTGCAAAAATCAGCTTATTTTGAAAAGTGCTTTTTTTCAAAAGTGTTTTTCTCAAAAGTACTTTTAGTGAGAAGCAGTTTGTGTTTGGCTAATTAGTTTGAAAAGCACTTCTGAACAGCAATTAGTGTTTGGCCAAGCTTTAAAAAACTACTTCTAAGTGTATTTTTCTCAAAAGTGCTTTTGGAGAGAAGCTACTTTTTTCTGCTTCTCCAAAACTGCTTCTGCTTCTCCTCAAAAGCACTTTTTTTCTTTCCAAAAGCTTGGCCAAACACCTCAACTTTTGGCCAAAAATGCTTTTGAAAAAAAAAAGCACTTTTGACCAAAAAGAACTTGGCCAAACAGGCTATTAGTCTTGCCACCCCTCCTTGAGTCTTGCCACCCCTCCTTACGCTCTAACTATTGTCTAAATGGTGCTCAATTTGAAACCTTTACATCTCACTTTTTATTTTATTTTAAAAGTAAAAAGTCCAATGGCCTCTCCGAAGAAGAAAAAAAGAAGTCCAACGGCAACTAATTAAACTCCCTCAGTCCAGTTGTCTTGCAAATCGCTCCACATCTCAGCACTCGCCGGAAAAAGGGAACAGAAAAAGTGTGATGGGGATTATAAGGAGCAGTTTCTCATTCATATCAGGAACTGTTTGCGGAATATACATAGCTCAGAACTACAACGTCCCCAACATTCGAAAGCTTATTCAGAACGCTTTATTCAAGGCCAAAGATGTCGAAGAGAAATATCGCAAGCCCCCTAAGCCTGGCGATCGCCTTTAGATTTCACTCTCCTTATTTCAGGTTAACCATTCCCAAATCCCCAATTCCTTTTTTTTTTTGGGTTTCCTTCGCTGCGAATGTAAATTCGAATAATTATTGCTTATGTCCATAACAGTTCAACCGAGACAATCATGAATTATGTGACCTTTATAGCATGCTAGATTGAAATCTTCGAGTAAATTTGACCTGTTAATGATATTTTTTTGCTCGCCTTTTTTCTTTGATTTTCTCTATTTCAAACTGTGTGCCAGAGGAATAATTTCGCCCTTTGGTCCGATGGACCAGTTGAATGCTTACTCAGTGTTTAACTAGTATCACTTTAATTTGTGTAATTATGTTTATGTGGCGGTCGATGTTCCAATTAAATCTCAAGCTTTATCAGGATTTTAGACTGATTGCCCTTTCCTTTTATAGGCAGAGGTCTGAATGCTAGACCAATGTTCCCTAAAATTCCTTTGAGATAGAGACTGAGAGCAACAATAATACAATTTTATAACAAAACTTTCGTGTTAAATATATTCCTTGAGGAATTTGTGTTGCTATGCATCCATTCTGGTTTATGGTTTAACAGCTAGAAGTTTTGTTTGTAATGGTGGATAGTTGCATAATTTGTCCGGTACGTACAATTGGCTGCTTGCATATTGTAATCTTTTAGTCGTAAAGATTTATCTACCTTTAGACCTTTTCACATTAAAATTTGTACCATACCAAGGAACTGTGGGATGTTTGTTTGGTTGCGGATTCTAGGACATTTTCTAATTGGGACTTAGCCATCTAGCTTTCTGGTTGATCTTTTGAAAATACTAAGCAGAACACATTTGGAAGTTCTTTCCTGTGATGTCTGACACTGGTCCGGCAGCTATTACCTATTTGGCAATGTTCCTCAGTGTTCTGAAGAGATTGCATTTTCTGGGAGGTAAGAACAGTCTAAGTGTAATGTACCTTTGAATGATTCTCTGGAGAAGTTTTAATTTTTGTCGGATTATAGTGTCTGGAAAAAAATATATCTTGTGAAACAGTTGTGTGGAAAGACGTTTTCAGAAAATAGAAACTAGCTAAAGTATCACTTAGACCCATGTCACTCATTCCAACTCCATTAGAAATTGGGGACAATCGATGATAAAAGTGCGCTTCTGCTTTCTTAAAGGCTTCTCTCTAGCGTATGGAATTGTGGGTATATCTGGTGCATTGCGTACTTCCTGCTGAGCTCAGCTGCTTCTTTTTCTCTTGGTACTTCACAGCACTTGTAGTTTGTTTCATTTTAGGAGATTACTGGGTCAAAGGTTGCAAATAAAATGCATTTGAAGTCGTATGTTTGTCAAAATGATCAGATGCGTATGTCACTCGTTCATTTGAATTGCCAGATATAGGTGTATGAATACCATGGCGTAAATCTCCACAACAGTTAATTGTAGAAAGGAGATAATCTAGCTTATCTTAAAATTGCACAATGTTATAGTATCTTTCGAGGTCAAATGGGTTTTAGCATGTTCAGTTAATGCTCAGGTTCTCCTAAGAGAGGCTAGTATGTCTTCATGGCGTTTCAATTCTAAGACCTGGGAGGTATTACACATTGCTTGCTCATACATTTTGCCCTGAGTTATCAGATTGTGACATATTTGGCTAATTTAAGACGGATCTTCTCCCGCAACCTATCAAAAGTTTTGCCTCACTAGGATTATGAAGTTAAATTTGTCAAGGGCTAGCACCATAAGTAGGAGAGTTTAGTGAGAAGTAGCAGTGATGCAAGTATTCTGTTAGACTCTTAAACGCATGTGGGACACTCCTTTATCGATTGGTAATACCTGACCTTTTAATATACTGGAATTGAGTTCTTTTCCTATCGTTAATGTTGAACTTCGTTGGTGGTGCAGGGCAGTTCCATTTCCAAGATGGAACTAACTAATTTTATGAAGGTTGGCCTCGATTCTTTGTTCAGAGATCAAATTTTCCAAAACCTTACTATTGCCACCCAGAACCTACACTTGGATTCAACGTCCGGTTGTGCTCCCTCATTATTTTATAGCCCCAAAACAGTTGCTCTTGATCTCTCTTTATTTTTAGCAGCATATTGTCTGCATAGCCTCCATAATGTGCGCAACTGTTTTTGCTTGAAATACATTCTCAACATTTTTGAAGAATTTACTTACCAACCCCTTATTCATCCTTTAAGCACAATTTATTACCGACCTCATGACACGTGTCCCATCGTTTTTTTTTCCTGAATAGCATCACTATGTATAACTCTGTCCCTTGGTCTTGGTCTGTAAAAAAGAAAGATATTTTTCTGGTCCTCTGGTGCTAGCTTGATCTAATGATATCATTGATAGGCATACTTGAAGCTTAGTAGCTCGCACCCAGATATTTCATTAACAAGGGACTCTTAATTTCTGGGTAGGGAAAACCAATCGCAGACTGTATGCTGTTAGATTTAATCGGTGATTTCTTTAAGGTAATTGATACTGTTGGAGTAAATATTTAGGAACTGATGTCTGGTTTAAATGGCAGTATAGCATTGTTTAATTTTCATATCTAGTTGATCCCTTTTCTGAAAATGTATTGGCAAACAAAGAAAAAGTTTAATCCTCTCCGGCATTAGAAAGCTACTTGAGTGATGTTTCCATCAAAGAATTGGATGTTGGAAATACAGAAATTATCAAAGAATTCAATTAGTAGTAGTCCCATCCAACTAAGTCGAGCAAGAATACTTTTTGCCAGGTCATTGATAGATGACGACCGTATTACAACTTTCAGTGGTATGGCAAAAAGAAACCTTTATTTAGGACTTAGGAGGATGTATTGCAAGAATCAAATGAAAAAGAAACAAAATGTGTACAAACTCTCATCAACCTACACTGATACTACTCTACATTCAGATATTTGATCCTTTTATGGCACATAAAAATGTACATGTGAATATGTATATATGACGACCTAAGGAGTCATCTGCAGTTTTTTCCCCTTCAGACTCTGTCCCACAAAATGGAGAAACATTCATACCCTCGTCTTAACTTGTAGATTGTAATACAAGACCATCTGACTACTCGATATTTGATTTGAGCATTTCTACCTCTTCATCTCCGTGAGCAAACGCTAATATCCAAAAAGGGTGCAAAAATGCATTGGATTATCACACACAAAGCAATAAAAGAATGCAACTAATATCACAATTTTATGGCAAACTTCAAGGTCAGCAGACATTGGTCAGGATGATCTTTGGGACCTCAATTCTTGAATTTTTCCACTCACCTCGGCTACAACTAGCCTGGTCAAAAGCAAACCAGCAATGAAAACTGCTCCCATAAGCATCACGAAAACTGCATTCCAGCTCTTAGTTGAAATGTAACCCGTTAGAAATGGTCCAATAGCAGCACCAATTGAGCCAGTTCCATCAATAATAGCAGTCACAGTTGCAAGTGCTCGTGAATTGCCCTTCAAAGATCTATGTGTTCCTAGGTCAGCTGAAACGGCAGTTGTTATTAACGCATAAGGGCCATTCACAAACACTCCATTAATCAACATGAGGATGACGTTTATAGTCATGGAGATGTGTCCGTAGCTTTGATATAGATATAGGGCTGGGATAGCACAGTACATGAAGCTAGCAGCTGTTATAGCTCTAGCATCCAACTGATCAGAGATATAACCTGCTAGGATTCCACCTACTACCCCTCCAACATCAAACAGTGTTGACAAGTTTCCAGAATCCTCGTTGGACAAGTATCTTCCGTCTATAGCTGCAGCACCACTAAACATACAATAAGATGCGATACATACTTTTTGCATTATAGAGCGAGAAAAAAGACAAGAAATCTACCATGACAAATATAGATAGAGCAGTTAGACAAACCTGTGTGGCTAATGTAGAAGGGGAGCCAATAAAGAAATGTGTAAGCCACCAACTTGGCAAAGAAAAGGCAAAGAGCAAATGGTGCAACCCCTGGGATCCTCCATGCTTGTATAAAACCCACGGCTGATTCCTCCTCTCTCAAGAGAGGTTCATTCACTTCCTCGTCTTCTTTTCGAATAGATAAGACTTCATCTTCATCCTTGTTAACTCCAACATACTCGGGATGAACTGGCAAAAGAAGGAATACTACCATACCACTAAAAGCAATAATGATACCAGGAACAACCATCGACCAACCCCATCCATATTTCAATAAGGCTGAGGCGACCAATGATCCTGTAATGTTACCGACTGAAGTATGAGCATTCCAAATGCCCATTATAAGTCCTCTCTTCTTCTTTCCAAACCAATTCCCGACTACTGCAACTACTGAAGGCCATCCAGTGGATTGGAACAATCCAGCAACCATCTGAATGAGCATATAGTAATAGAAATTATGGATGTTTGCCCAATATCCAACTCCAAAAAGAGCTGTGAATAAACCAGTTCCCAACATTCCTGCTGTCAAAAATATTCTCAGATCCATCCTATCGCCCACATGTCCTGAGAAATACATTCCAATGGCATACACAAATAGGAAAGCCACATCAAGGTCACCGAGCATTGCTGTTCCATTGGGGCCATCAAATGGCAACCAACCATCTCTAAATGGTTTCGGAGTAATATTTCTTTGCCACTGTAAACTCGGAAGAACACCAGGGGATTGGGGACCAAGTGCCTGTTTCACGATACTGGTAGTTTTTCTATTAGCATGGTAACTTGTATATGCAAAAAATGTCAGAATTAGGACAATGACTTGATATGACTTGAAAGACAGGCTTGACTTCTTCATGCTCTCTATCAGTCGAATTCCTGGGGGCTTGCTGTTCGTCGTCTCCATGGTTGGATCTGGAGATGATTCCATTAATAGCTTCTCAAGGAACTATATCAACATAAGATGACAAACCAAGGAAAACACCTGGAAAAAGATGCACAAGTCAATAATTTAGATGTAATCATTCATAAATAAGAAAATTAATATTTATGACTTATATCTAAATTAAGATACTCATATCATATACATAGGAAGATGACTAACTTTGGCATGTTAGATTGAATGTAACAAATCATTGGGATCTGTTGGGTGTGTGTGAACAAAGTTCCACATGGAAAGCAGAAATAGACAAAGATACTTATAAGGAGTTGTTGGAAAGTATAAAAGAAAAAAAAGCTACTTATAAGGAGTTGAATACTCTTAACGGTGTTAGATCTTTTGTGGAAAACTGTGTGAGTTTGACCCGAAGCGATTAATATCACATCATGTAAAGAGTATTTTTGTGTCGTTTTAGCCCAACAACAGATAACAAAACCAATGATTTAGAAGGGACAAGTATGGAGATGGCGGAGTGTGACGTGGGGCCTGGCTTGGTGCCTTTGCCCGTCTATGGGCTGGTTTACGACCTTTACCTATAGCTTTGAAGACACATACATAATCTTTGGCCTTTGGTGACTGTAATTCCTCGGATCATTTGGGTGGCACACATTTAATTTCTAAATCATCCTACACCATGTTAAGAGTATTTTTACGTCGTTTTAGCCCAACATGATCAACACCTGGTTGGAAATATATGGTTCATGTGCGACATTAAATAACATTGGAAGTCCTAAATATTTTCCAAATCGCCAATGGATAAAATCTAAGCTCATGTTAAAGCAAATTAAGAAATGTAAAAGAGCAAGAGTGTTTGTGACTGAAAGCAAGTAGTATATTCTTTTTTGACAAAGGGACAGCCCATTGGAACTACAGTATAAAGTTGAGTTTTCCATATCTTTCTTTCCTTATCCATTAAAATAGCTTCCTTTCTACTACTACTACTACTCCCTCCGTTCCAATTGGTTCCAATTGATGTGAACCTGTTTGACTGAGCACGGAGTTTAAGAAAAAATGACGATTTTTGGAATTTATGGTCCTAAACAAGTCAAAAAAGGGCCCAGAATATTTGTGTGGTTATAAAAGCTTCTCATTAAGGTTATAATCGTAAGTTTAAGCTAAATTGTTACCAAATTTAAAAAGAGGTCATTCTTTTTGGAACGGACCAAAAAAGAAATAGGTTATGTAAACTTATTTCTTAACGTCAAGTCAATAGAGGCTTCTTTAGACTCTGTTTGTCTCAATACAAGAAAATAACAGAGCAAGAAGATCAATATGTTGAGCAGATATCTTACGCTCAGAAAGAGATGCATGTCAATTAAAAATTGGAATTAGCATATTTCAATTTTTAAAATCATATTTCACTTTGCATCATATGATGAGACCAAAACAAGTCCTCTGAATTCTCTAAACCTTGTAGGAGAATTTACCTAATAAATTTGATAGAACAATCCAATGGAAAACAGATCAATTAGGAAAGAGAAACATTCCCATTTTCTTCAGTAGCTGATAAAAACGAAAAGAGATTTTGGTTAAAAGAAAGATGAATAATACAGTAACAATATGAAAACAAAACGTAATTCAAATATGAAAGAATGTAGAGAAATTCTTGGGAATTATGCATATGTGAATGAACTTTAAAGCTGACCTTGTTGTATTGGGTGATACCCTTTTTTGCTTGAGCCCGACCGGGTTGGGTCCGGTCCGGGGCAAGTCGGGGCCATCGAACCCGACCTGGATGCAAGGTAGAACGACGGCCACGTCTACAACCGATGTCGAGTCATTTCGAGACCGTTGCAGAGCTCGATATGAGTCACCACCGGATGGAGAAACACACAAGATCGGAAGCCGGACTCGTAACGGATAACCAAGCGTCGCCGGATATCTCGCCCAAACGTGATTTTCTCAACCACTTCAGGCCATTAAGGCGTAATTACAGGGATCCACGATGTAATTAATTTACCTACCTTATTTTTACCCTTAATCAGAATGTATAAAAGGGGAGAAGACCCCATAAAGAGGGGGCCGGAAAAAAAACCATTACGCCACAGTACCATCTCTCTAAATTCTTGTACGCTATCAAGCACAATTGTTCTAAGCAATATTATATTCTGCGATTATTTACTTTAACAGCAGTTGTTGAGTTTTTATCTTTATTTTCCTCAACCTAAACCTTTTGTATCTTTTAGTTCACGGATCCTTAAAACCCCATATAAATTCAATTGTTATCCGGATTCCAGGGTAAACAAAACCTGCCATAACGTGAATTCTGATCACCATAGCGCTCCTTAATCCTCTCGCATAATTGCTTCATCAATCCGACCTACTTTACCTAATTGCACATATTTTAATGATGCTCGCAATTATCTAATGCTGGAAATAAATAAGATAATATATTTGACTTGTCATGTAAGTGTATTACCCACCTTGTTTGTTCATTATGGAGAATACTAAAGAATTATTGTTTATTCAGGTTTTCAATTCTGCCGGTCCTTGTCTTTGTCCCGCACCATTAGATATACCTTGGACCAATCGTCCTCTTTATGTAATTTAGTACTCACGATCCCTCCCTTTCTTTTTTTAAATTCCGTGCAAAGTAAAACTACGCGATATAATTTGAGAAGAAAGAATTATTTACTTCATCCTTACAATCAAATTTCGAAAATATATACTTGCAATTATTTTTTGGCGAACATGATTGAATAAATATATTTTCTACACCTTCTATGTATGAAAGTTAAAAGATAAATATATATTTTACACCTTCGACGTATGTAGACAGAATAAGCACTAATAAATCCAAGGTGGTCGACTATATACTTGAGAGTAGCTCATCATCAAATGACATTAATGGAGGAATATTTTTCTACGTTTCAGAAACCTTAAACGAGAGATTTCGGACAAATACTTGGGAGTTGGAGGAAACATAAAGGTGTAAATTCCATATTTTATTGGAACCTAATTCTTTAATCGTGCTATGAACACTATTTCAAGCGAATATGATGCCTTCCTTTTGTTAACGTTTTAGCCATTTTCTGATAGGGCCTAACATCTCCTTTAACTTTTTAGCCATGCAACTTCGGAAAAGTTTTAGAAAACTTCAAGGGAAAAATTATGACTTTTAAGGGTGTGTTTGGTATAACGGAGGAAAATATTTTCTAAGAAAGTATTTTTTTGGAAAACAAGTAGTAATCTTATTTATTTTCCGGTGTTTGGTACGCAAATTAAGGAAAATAACTTCTCAAGAGTATTCATAAATAATTTAGATACAATAAACATAAAGCCATAAACTTTCGAACCAACAACCTTCCGAACCCACAAATTTCATGAACTTCCGAACCGCTAAACTTTCGAAACCGCGAACTTTCAAACCCGTAAATTTTATAATTTCTAAATCCGTAAACTTCCAAACACATAAACCTCTGAACTCATAACTTTGGAAGTTGTAAAATTTCGAACCTGTAAACCGAAAGATGAAAAAACTAAAATTGAAAATATATAAAAAAAAAATATTTTTTTCGGGGGGGGGGGGGGTGTTGGTGGTGGATATCGAGGGTGGGTGATGA